CTAAGTCGAAAAGCCAATTTAATGGTTGCTCAGAGATGAAGAGGCTGGTAAAGATTGTTAAAAAGATAAGACGGAATAGGAAATATATATTTATGGATTTAAAAATGAAAATTATGGACGATTTTCTGTTGGTTGTGTAAAATGTGACGATTATCATTTTAGCAAAATAAAGTCTCTTTTCTGATTTATTCTACGGAATTTTCTGTGGTGTCAAATGGTACATTTTATAAGGCACGTGGCAGGCGAAATCTTTTCAGATTAAAATTTTAGAATTTCGAATCTTTCAATTTGTCGCTTTTTTGTCCATTAAGTTTACTTTTTTCTATCTTTGCGCACCTTGTATGCCGAGTCCATTAGCGCCTGATCCAATCAGGGTTCAGTCATGTTTTTGTTGTCTATTCTGAACCAATAGTATGGCGGTAACTTTTATCTTTCTATCTATCTCATTATCCAATCCGAGTTATGAATCCTTTAATCGACGCTATCAGTATTTACTTCTACTGAAACTATGGTGGGGTGAGGGGGGGCCCCCCCTCACCCCACCATAGTTTTACTATTGAAGGGTTATTCAATAAAGGATTCCGCTAATGTTGTACTGAATCAATTACTACTAAGAATTGAGAGAAACTAAAGTTATAATTGTATAAAAAATTACACTTTGGTCGCAGATAAAATGTTCCTGCAGAAGAAAAGAATGCATATATTCAGTAACTATAAGAGACTCTAAGAGTAAAGATTGTTGTTAAAAAATTGAAAATATGCCTAAATTTGGATTGGGACTCCAGCTACAGTGGTAGGCGATTATACCAATACAAGGAAGACGATTATACCAATACAAGGAAGACGATTATACCAATACAAGGAAGACGACTCGTTTCTTAAAATTTTTAATTGTTTACAAGCATTTTTCGAATTGCAAATTTACAAGTAATCAAAAAAAAGTTTTTTAATGAACAACTTCTCTTGAATTCCATGTTTAAGTCACCGTATCAATGCTGTTTAACAGCTTGATATAAATCAAAATTGAAATCGAAAGTCGTTTTCATTGTATTGATATAATAGCCTATCACTGTATATTCTCACAAAAAAATGAGAATTTAATGGTCTGAAACTGTTAATCCTTTATTTTTGTTCCCAATTCCTATACAATCTTTTTATTGTTCCTTAGATTATGTATTTCTGATTTAATTTATTGTTCTTTGTTCATTCTTAGTGCATGTATGAAACTCCTAGTTTTTTTTACTGTTCATAGCTTGCTCTTGGTTCAATAGTCAATGTTCCTATTATAGTTTCCATTTATTAGTTTTGTTGTTCCTCAATCCTCTTTTGATGTTCTTAATCTAGTACTTTATGTTTTGTTCCTAATTTATTCAAGATTCGTGTTTTGTTCCTTTTTTATGAACTTATAATGTTCCTAGTCCTAATTAATCCTAAATTGCATTTGCTTAGCTGACTTGTTGGCTTTGTTCCTTTCCTCAAGTACTATATTTCTAACTATCTATGATGTGATATACCAAGTTGTTTGTGTTTTGTTCCTGAGTCTTGACCAAACGTTCAGAGGTGCAAGTAGCACTTTTGCCCAATCGGCTAACCCCCCCCCTCCTAGTTGAGCCTCTCCAACCGTACCTGTTTTTTTGTTAATGTTCCTAGCTCACTCATTGTTACTCTTCTTTTATGTACATTGTAAAGTAACTTCTCTATCTTAATAAACTATAATGTGTGATAAGTTAAAAATCTAGTTTTTTAGTCTTTAGTCATTAATGACATCATAGAATTTATCTAAAAAAACAAGAAAAAAACGCAACTCTTATTTTAATACATACTAGCTGAGTGTGCCCGGCGTTCCCTGTGGAATTTTTTTTAAAAAATGTCAGCCCAATTGGTCCAGTCGTTTGGCAATCTATTGCTTACATATATACAAATATATATACAACTACATGTATATATACGCGAAGAGCTTTATTATATACTAGTTGAAGGGCCCGGCCGCCCGTGGATAAAAAATGATAATAAAAAAATGTCGAAAAAATTTTCAATTTTTTTAGCCTATAACAGCCCCGGCCACCCATGAGTGTCCACAACATATTTCAACCCGATCGATCCAGCAGTTTGGCCGGCTATAAACAACATATATCTACACGTCTTATTATTATTATATAGATAGATAGTTATATATAAATGTATACATATATAGAGGTATTATTTTACCGCTGCAAACCTGATATTATAATTGTATTTGTTTATGTTTATATTTGTTTGCCCAACCAATACCATCTTTGTTTACAATAAATATATTATATTTGTATAGCTAAGATACATAGATATGAGTTATGTCTGAAAGTTTATACTTTTTTGTTTAATTAACTTAGAGAAAATGTGACCGCAAATCAAAAAAAAACATCAATGAAAGAGAACCAGCAATGATGTTTCAGAGTACCATCTAAGCCTGTACCTCAAATGGAGTACATTTTTGCTGCAGAAATCCACAAGTTGTGCATCCAGAAGTACAAATGTTCCAATTTTAGAAATGTTACGGTGCAACCAGGAAATAGTGGAATGATTGTCGAAATAGTTGACTCATTTCATGAATTATAAAATCGTGTAAATTGTGCCGTTAACATTTTAAGAAATGTGTCAGCTTTAACTTTTAAAAGTTACAAAAAGAATGAATTTTTAATCATGCCACAAACATATATGCTATTTGAGTTGTACAATAAAGAAGAAAATATGGTGACGTGAAGAGCAACACTGAAAGGGAGTGTTCGCGAAAAATGAAAGGGATATTGGCTTACGTCAAAAAATATTCGATGGTGATTGCTACTAATCTTATTTCTAACTGTTGCATCAATAAGGAGAAAATGGTTAAACTCGACTCATACAGCTAGAAGAACTTAGCGTCCATACAAATTCAGAAAGTAATATTCGACTCGGATCGAAAAAAAAATCATTTTAATTTCAAACAAATCATTCAGATATTACAACCTATAACCAACGGTTTTTTTTGACGCATTCGTATATAGTAAGATTAGTAGCGATTACTATCGAATATTTTTCTACCTTAGCCTATACCTCCTTTTTCTACGAGTATTAGATAATAAGCTATTTTTAAAATCTTTGATTTCTTTATGACAAGTAATTGTTTTTCAATCTTTTATTTAAAAAGACAAAATTTAAAAATTTAATTTAAAAACATTCCCGCATTCTTTTGAACATTTTCTATAATTTCTCTCCCTTCGCTTTCCTCTCTCTTCATAGTGGTTTTAAGCTTTAAATAATATAATTGTTCCAACCATATATTTGAAAATGTGAAGATTAAATAAAGAGTTAAACCGGGACAAAATAAATATATTTACATTAAACTAATAGAGAACAGATTTAAGGAGGATACACCGAGGGGTAAATTAAAAAAAAAATATTTTAAAAATGTTTTTTTTTCAATGATTCTGAGAACCCCTAGTAAAATTAACTATAACTAAATTGTACTTAATTCTGTCTATAAGACCTGCTAATTGTGCAAGAAAACGGTGGAATAATTTTATAAAATTACATTCATTGCTTTAAAGCTCAAAGTAACAGTATTTGTATTAGAAAAGAACTATTTGGCAGATTTTGGTAAAAATGCTATTCATGCCTCATGTCAGAAATGACTTTTCAAAATTTCTTGAATCTGGGAAGAAAGTGCAGTTTGGTTTGGTTTGCCCTGAATTTGAATCTTGGAGGGTTTGGTTTGGCTCAAATAAATCCTCCAGTTTAAGTGAGCAATCTGGAAATTGAGCATTCATAACATTCATATTTTCTAGAGAGAGGGCTGGTAGGGGGTGCAACAGTGCACACACAAAGGGCTTAAGCTAGGACACAGTTGGGGGCAGTTGTATATAACAAATAATTGTGAACGATTCAAATAAATCTATGGAGGCCGGGTAAGATGAAAAAAGTTTACTATTAAGGGAAGAGGGATTATTTTTAATGGCTTAATATGAAGATAGGATTACTGGTTCTGGTGTTTAAGGATAGAATCCATTTCCGACAAATTGGAGAAAAGTTTAAATTTCAAATATTTCAATCTCCTTCCAATATCATACGGAGCTGAGAAATTTTTCATAATCTCCAGATTAAATAAGGCTTGTTCTCCTCTTGTTATTAATCTCCAGATTAATTATCTAATTGGGATTAAGGATATTCCTTTCTAAAGTTTCCAGCTCGGGTTTCCCATTTATGTAATACAAGGGGTTCTATTCTGTTCCCCCAAGCCTGAAATACAGGGTACACTGGTTCCCGGAGATCCAAAATATTTCAAGAAATTTAATCTTTTTACTTCGCCCGAGAAATATTCTATGAATATTATTATAAAAACCAAAGCTTGCTTTTTCAATATTAGAGGCAAGAGAACAACGGGCAGAGACACGGGGGTCCAACAATATAATATTTAAATACATTACGTCCAATTTAATTCACTTACATTGAGTTGAGTATTATTCACACTCAAAGATTTATCAACATTGTTCTTATATGCACCATTCGGTAGAGCATTAACCAACTACATCATATATTCGAAATTTAAAAAAATATTTTATACTCCATCCAATTATAATCTTAAATACGGTTAAAACTTAACAGGACTAACAGAACACAGTTGAAAGTGTTTCAGTTTGATCTTTGTGACCAATTTAAGTGAGATCAGAAAGAAAACGGATTGGAAAAAAATTAAAAATTGCAATTTTTGCCAATAAAGTGCTAAAAACGGTTTCCCATTCTCAAAACAGAATAATCCCATGAAAAAGTCTAATATCTAATTAAGATATCTGAACAAGTTGAATAGAATTGACACAACATTTTTCTTCATAAAATGCAATGGTGGATACTGGATACAAAGTGGAAAGTAAAATATAATGTTTACAAAACGGAATATAAAACAGTAAGTAACTGACGTAAAATTCGGCACGTTGTTGTTGAAGTAAAAATTAAGTGTATAAGAAATCATGATGTTCTGACAAAGAAATAATTTTGTATTTTTGTGCATTAATGAGATCTTTGTGAGTACAAAATCCGCTAGTGGCAGAGCAATATCGAAATGTATCAGAATGTTTTATCACAAAATACTTGAGAAATTTAAACAGAAAATATTAGAGAATTGTTGATTCTACAAGAACTTGAAGATATATTGGATAGATATTAGTCTATTTAAGGGATTTTAGATCTGTTTTCTCAATCATACTACTCGTGAGAACGAACTTGGTTTTTCCAGCTGAGAACGCTGAGACACAATTTACAGACTGTACATGTGCTAGTACACCAACAGGTGTCATTGCACTACAGCACTTATATAGGATAAATACTGGTAAAAATTCTAGTTATTACATTATATTAAACTTTCCAGTCGGTCTGGATCTAGTGGAGAAGAGTTCAGAGTCTTTCTGTATTCATTAAACTCTTTCTTCATTGCCCGAACCCGGGCGTCAACATCTATTTGCAGACGTCTCCTAGGGAAAACATTGGAGTAGATCTCCGAGTCGGAGAATACTCTATCACGATTGTTCTGAACCATAGGTCCGATGTCCCGGTCCCTGCGTGGGTTGTAGTGCGGGGATCGGCGAATAGTCCATTCTACCGGCAGCGGGGCTAGTTTACTATCATCAGTCGTGACCGAGTCCCACTCATAGTGCCGGTCAACGGACCGGTCTAAAGGAGCGGACTGGGAAGAATTAGGGCGGGAGCTTCTAGAGGGTGGGCCTTCACTGCTCGTATTTGGAGAAGATCCCGTAACTGTGTATCCTGCCCGGGCATAATATTTGCCTGAGTGTGGTGTGAGAGGAGGTATTCCAGATGTAGGATGGGAGGAGAGGGATACTTCATCAATATCGTAGGTTATATACTCAGGAGGTTTCAACTTGACTGATGGACCAAATTGATAGGGTCGGGGTGGCCAGTTCTCATAGAAGGGCATTTTATCTGAATCAAGTTCCTTGTCTTCTAGAATGGCTCTTTTTGAAAGTTCTAGGTAGGAAGATTGATTGAGAGAAGTTTGTTGTATGGATAGAGACCCTGATGTGGAATGAGAAGATGAGGTTTGGTTCTGAGAGGAAGACGTATTTTTACTCGCAATACCACTGGAGCTAGAGGCACGTTCCTGCTGGAGAGTGTTGGTACCAGAACTCTCCGGAGAAGAGGAAGATGTAATCGCTGTTACCTCTGCATCCAATCCTTCACTCACTACACTCACCAGGTCATACTCCCTCCTCTCATCATCTCCTTTACTACTTGTCTCATTCTCACTCAGCTCACGTAGTGTTTGCAACCTGGATTCCCGGTCCCGCAGTCTTTGGCTGGATCTTGATACCCGTCTTTGATATGGAGCCTGGGGACCAGCCCGGCTTTGTCCGGTAATCCGGGTGTCTGGGGGGGCCGGATATCTAGGATTATTCTTCTCATCCTCGGAGCTTTCATCCTCTCGTTTTCGTTTCCCTGGAGGACTAGAGGTTGCGAGAGGACGAATATTCTCACCTGAATTAGTATTCTCAGGGTCTAACTTGGCAATTCTTTGATAAATGTCAAACTCCATGGGATCAACCTGGCCCACCCGGATATCTGGGATTTTCGGGGGTTGAATATGAGATGCAGGATATTGGGTTGAAGGGGATATAGCTCGGTGGACAGGAGCAGGATAATTATAGTTCAGATAGTCTGATGTATACAGATAATTGTAATTTAGTCCAATCTGATGTCCAGGGAAGGAAATATCTCTTGCAAGAGACCATTCCCCGAAGGGATGAGAGCCCAGGTCTAAATTAGAACTTCTATAACTGATATGACTAGATCTAGGAGTTTCTCCAGTAGTATACTCGGACAGGTTAGAGTACTGACCGCTGTGATGAATATCTGCGGTTACACTGAGTCTTGAATCCTCAGGTATTGTGTGAAGAGAGGATCCTATCCTACCTCTTGACCTGGAGCTACCCTGCTCCAGGGAGAAGTTAGGACTGGAGATACTGGAGAGAGGGTTAGTGAGCAGGGTTGAAGGGAAGCTTCTCTCTGCAGAGCTAGGATGAGGAACGGAACTAATATCACTATAATTGTTCAAAGGACTTAACCAGTTTACTAAAGGTTTGCCCTGGTCCAAGGGTGAACTAGCTCTTAGAGAGGGTCCACCTTGTAGTTCTAGATCTGGATTAGCAACTAGTCTAGGTCCATGAAGAACCTGAACATTAGCTCCAGTCCTAGGATACGTCCCAGACCCATCACTTCCAGCCCTGGAACCATAAACAACTTGTTTCCAATAGATTGGTTCAGATTTTACATAATCCCGATCCGCTCCCACTTTATAAACCCCACTCTCAACCACAAATGCTCCGGGTGGCATATTACTATAAACCCTCTCCGGACTGTAACCTGCCACTATTGCAATACTTCTTGTTCTAAATCTATTTGGAGGTAACTTGAGATCAAAGCCTCCTTCATCACAAACTGAATTCGTTCTATTGAGACGGTTAGTCCCAGGAGCACTATACTCCAGACGAATTGAATATCTGGGTTTTTGTTTACGTTTCTCACCGTCTGTTTTGTCCTTGGAATCAGTTTTCTGTACATTTCCCGCCAACCCATTCTCCACTGTAAGCACACAGTCAGTGACACAATCGAACATGGATATAAGACCATGTTTAACTGCGGTAGCTCCTACAGTTGAAACTCTGCCTTGTTGAAGTCTGAAAGGAAAGAAGGAATTAGTTTGAACTAACTCTGATTATCAACTTTAAGATTAAATCTATGCCTTTCAAAGTTGAAACAAAATCTAAATATAAGGAAATCTGTTAGAATAACCCCCAGGAGACAAGCTTAAATCCCCCTTTACAAATTCCCCAGGCCGAATATAATTCCAATGAAAGAGGTTTCTATAATGCCCTCCTTGAACCCTACTCTGAGGATATTAAATGGAGATAATGTTCTGAGTATAAAGATGTTGGTGACCTCCTTTCATCCTTTACACACCCTCACAAAATTCAGCATCAAACATAAATTATCCCCCAGGATTTATGTTTACATAGGGTGAGTCAAAAAAAAGTGTGATTTGTACCTTTTTTAGTGCAACTCTCCTGTTTTGTGTTTTTTAATATTTTTTGAAAATTTGTAATTTTTTTTTGGCACTTCAATGGCCCCAAAAACAATTCGCGAAGCTTTTTTCTCTCAAAATCAAAAGTTCAGAAAACAAAATTGTGTAAATAAATTGTTGTTTTTGTCGAAATCTAAAATTTAAAAAAAGATTGAATCCCAGAATCTCAGAAAATTTGCAAAATTGTAATCAGAAAATTCGCAATTTTTAGTTCTGGTATAATTTTTACGGAAAAACTGTTTTTCAATGGTTTCAATTCAACAGCGTATATTCAATACTTTAGTATATACTAAGAAGAAAGGAACTAGAGAATTTAAATATGAAATGTTATAAATTTAAACAAATTTAAAAAAAGCAAATAATTTGCTTCAAATTTTCTTTGCAATCCGATATTACAAATTTGGTTTATTTGATCTAACAGAATTCGTAGTTTGAATATCAAAGGTCTTCAACTCAGGTTGCAAAGATTTAAGATTAAGAGAATAAGAGTTTGCTGCAAGCGTTCAGTTCCTTTAAGTAAATCTATGATAGAGAGGGGCTGAGAATATAAGAACCCTGCAGGGGTAAATAGGTTGAGGTAAAAAAGAATAATTTTTTTTCATAAGCAAATTTTTTTTGTTTTATATTGATACATTTAATATTTTAGTTTTCGTCTTAGATTAACTTCTAATTTATAGTATAAATTGTTTTAGGCTGGGAGTTTGTTGATTAAACTGAAATTTTGAAATCCCGATATCTTTGCAGCCTGATGGTGTAAACCTTTGCTATTTAAAACTTATCTAATCTAGCATATAACATATATAATATATACACATAGATAGTATTAAAGGTCTATGACAACAGGTTCTAAAGATACAAGAATCAGATTGTGTGGCAAGAAGACAGTTCCTTTGTTCTTTAAGATTGGGAGCTTGGTACGATTATTGCTTAAGGTTTGGAGAAAGTTTGATATGAGCATTGCTCAAAGTTGTGAGCTAGTTTGGTATGAGTATTGCTTGAGTTTGAAGCTTGTTTTTCTTGAGGATGGGAGCAAGTTTGGTATTGCTTGAGGTTAGTGCTAGTTTTGTATGATTATTGCTTGAAGTTGGAGCTAGTTTGGAATGAGTATTGTTTAAGGTTGTAAGCTAGTTTGGTATGAGTATTGCTTGAGGCTGGAGTTAGTTTGGTATGAGTATTGCTTGAAGTTGAAGCTAGTTTGGTATGAGTATTGCTTGAGGCTGGTGCTAGTTTAGTATGAGTATTGCTTGAGGTTGGGGGTTTGGTATGAGTATTGCTTAAGGTTGTAAGCTAGTTTGATATGTGTATTGCTTGAGGCTGGTGCTAGTTTGGTTATAGTATTGCTTGAGGCTGGTGCTAGTTTAGTATGAGTATTGCTTGAGGCTGGAGCTAGTTTGGTGTGAGTATTGCTAGAAGTTGAAGCTATTTTGGTATGAGTATTGCTTAAGGTTGTAAGCTAGTTTAGTATGAGTATTGCTTGAGGCTGGTGCTAGTTTAGTTATAGTATTGCTTGAGGCTGGTGCTAGTTTAGTACGAGCATTGCTTGAGGTTGGGGGTTTGGTATGAGTATTGCTTGAGGCTGGTGCTAGTTTAGTATGAGTATTGCTTGAGGCTAATGCTAGTTTAGTTATTGTATTGCTTGAGGCTGGTGCTAGTTTAGTATGAGCATTGCTTGAGGTTTGTGCTAGTTTAGTATGAGTATTGCTTGAAGTTGAAGCTAGTTTGGTATGAGTATTTCTTGAGGCTGGTGCTAGTTTAGTATGAGTATTGCTTGAGGCTGGTGCTAGTTTAGTATGAGCATTGCTTGAGGCTGGTGCTAGTTTAGTATGAGTATTGCTTGAAGTTGAAGCTAGTTTGGTATGATTATTGCTAGAAATTGAAGCTAGTTCAGTATGAGTATTGCTTAAAGTTGAAGCTAGTTTAGTATGAGTATTGCTTGAGGCTGGTGCTAGTTTAGTTATAGTATTGCTTGAGGCTGGTGCTAGTTTAGTACGATTATTGCTTGAGGTTGGAGGTTTGGTAAGAATATTGCTTAAGGTTGTAAGCTAGTTTAGTATGATTATTGCTTGAGGCTGGTGCTAGTTTAGTTATAGTACTGCTTGAGGCTGGTGCTAGTTTAGTATGAGTATTGCTTGAGGTTGGGGGTTTGGTATGAGTATTGCTTAAGATAGGAGGTTTGGTAAGTTTAAAGATTTTAAAGTTTCTAACTGTACTGTGCTCTTGTTGACTGAGAATTTTGCCCCCTAACAATGGGACCGGAAATAATAGATCGAGGACAAAAAACCTGCAATTGTATTTGTGCAAGAAATAGAACAAACTGGAATAAGAATAAAATAAATTCAATCTTTGGAGAAAATATTTTCAAATAGATCTTTAAGAAAAGTAAATATTTCACCAAATCTTATTTATGTTAAATTGTCAAAATCTTAAAAAGCTAAATTCAGAAGTATTTGAGGGAGAAGAGTTTTGTTTAAAATAAATCCTGTAAAAGGGGAATTTGATATTATTTGGGAACATATTCCAGTAAGAATCTATACCAACCAGAACTAAGCTATAAAAAATGAGAGCTCTATAACATAAAAGTATAAAATGTAATCTAATAAAGTTTTTTTTGACAAAACTCTAGAGAAACCGAGGCAAAATGGATGGAGATAAGAATGGAAATAATAGATCTTTTGTGCAAACTTTTTACAGAAAAATCTGGATGAAGCATTCTTGATTCAGGATACAAGATAAGAGATTTAGGATACAAGGTACATTATATAAAATCCAGGATACAAGATCCAGGATACAAGATCCAGGATACAAGATCCAGGATACAAGATCAAGGATACAAAATCCAGGATACAAGATCCAGGATACAAGATCCAGGATACAAGATCCAGGATACAAGATCCAGAATACAAGATCCAGGATACAAGATCAAGGATACAAAATCCAGGATGCATGATCCAGGATACAAGATCCAGGATACAAGATCCAGGATACAAGATCTAAGATACAAGAATACAGTGAATAGAAGGATCGTATTGGAAAGTTTAAAAAGTGTAAAAAGTGAGTGTGGTTTATCAGTTCCAACCTTGGAGTTCAAAAGAAAACACATTAAATCCAACAAAATAAAGTTTTCCAGACAAAACAAATGGACGCTGAAGCAATATTCTGTTTAGGAACGGTATACAAATAACAACTATGCATGTCTTGTATAAGAATACTGCGGGAAAATACAAATTCTGCTGTTACTGTTAGGTCATAATGGGATCTACAAGTTAAATTTTGGTCGTTTTTAATTCTTTTTCTCACTTAAAAGTAAAACATTAAACTGTATTTTTATTTTGTTTATCAAATTGTATTTTAATGAATAAATTATTTATACTTTAACCCCCTTGCACGATTAAATATTTAAACTTGAGTGGAGAAATGTTATAGGACACTATACTAAATACAGATAATGGAATTCAACCGTAAAATGAATATTCTAAACCAAGGGGGAGATATTTGGGAGTTTCAGGGACTTATTTATGTGATTCAGGGACTTTGGGGGTATCAATTATGATATTTAGGACTTTCAGGGACTCGCAAGGAATAATTTAGGAGATTCATAGATTCAGGAATTATTTAGAGGATTTAGGGGTTTGAGGGTTTATTTTAGGAGTTTCAGGGGCTTTCAGGGAATTATAAGGAGATTTAGAACTTGTAAGTAACAGTTTAGGAGATTCAGGGACTTTAAGGGGCAAAAAGAATTAAAACAGCTAAAACAGTAATAATATCTGAACCAGCAGGATGAGCTAAAACAGTAATAATATCTGAACCACCAAGATGAGTTAAAACAGCAATAATATCTAAACCACCAAGATGAGCTAAAGCAGCAATAATATCCTAACCAGCAAGATGAGTTAAGACAGTAATAATATCTAAACCACCAAGATGAGCTAAAGCAGCAATAATATCCTAACCAGCAAGATGAGTTAAGACAGTAATAATATCTAAACCACCAAGATGAGCTAAAGCAGCAATAATATCCTAACCAGCAAGATGAGTTAAGACAGTAATAATATCTGAACCACCAAGATGAGTTAAAACAGTAATAATATCTGAACCACCAAGATGTGCTAAAACAGTAATAATATCTGAACCAGCAAGATGAGCTAAAACAGTAATAATATCTGAACCACCAAGATGAGTTAAAAAAGCAATAATATCTAAACCAGCAAGAAGAGCTAAAGCAGCAATAATATCCTAACCACCAAGATGAGTTAAAACAGCAATAATATCCTAACCAGCAAGATGAGTTAAAACAGCAATAATATCTGAACCACCAAGATGAGCTAAAACAGCAATAATATCTGAACCACCAAGATGAGTTAAAACAGCAATAGTATCTGAACCACCAAGATGAGCTAAAACAGCAATAATATCTAAACCAGCAAGATGAGCGAAAACAGTAAAAAAGACTAGAGCACCAAAAGAAAGGGGAAAAAGAAAAACATTGTTTACGTTTGTCTAAAAGAAGCCGGAAGTACATTTATCATTTATCTCAGTGAGATGTTTAAAATCTTTACAACTGGAAAATAAGTTTTAAAACTTCTTAGTTTTGCTTAAAATATATTTATTTCTATCCATGCATCAATAGAACTAAACACTTTTTACATACTGAATCAATAGAACTAAACACTTTTTACATACTGCATCAATAGAACTAAACACTTTTTACATACTGCATCAATAGAACTAAACACTTTTTACATACTAATTCGTGTATCTCTCCAACCTGATTTTGCAGCCTTGTGATATTTGAAACAATTGTTTCTGATAGATCAATTATTTGAATGTAGATAGATAAATTAACTAGTTTTAGATAGATTAATTATCTAGATATAGATAGATCAATTATCTAGTTTTAGATAGATCAATTGTACAGTTTTAGATGGATCAATTAACTAGTTTTAGATAGGTCAATTATCTAGTTTTAGAAAGATCAATTAACTAGTTTTAGATAGATCAATTAACTAGTTTAAGAAAGATAAAATATCTAGATGTAGATAGATCAATTATTCAGTTATAAATAGATCAATTATCTAGTTATAGATAGATCATTTATCTAGTTTTAGATAGATCAATTATCTAGTTTTAGAAAGATCAATTTTCTGGTTTTAGATATATCAATTTTCTGGTTTTAGATAATCAATTTTCTAGTTTTAGAAAGATTAATATCTAGATGTAGATAGATAAATTTTCTAGTTTTACATAGATCAATTTTCTAGTTTTAGAAAGATCAATTTTCTAGCTTTAGATAGATCAATTTTCTAGTTTTAGATAGATCAATTTTCTAGTTTTAGATTTTCTAGTTTTACATAGATCAATTTTCTAGTTTTAGAAAGATCAATTTTCTAGCTTTAGATAGATCAATTTTCTAGTTTTAGATAGATCAATTTTCTAGTTTTAGTATGAAATATCAAATCCATTGAATTACTCATTTAGGTCTATCTTATTTTTAACTCCATCCACTCGTTCAAACCCCCTCTAGTCATCTCATTTATTCCAAACCAAATCATTATATATTTGAAGACCATTTAATTCTATCAGATTTCCTTAAAAATCGAATAAAAAACTGAGTAAATATTAAATTTTCAAAAAAAAATAGCTTAAAATCACAACTTACCCTTCATCCTGGATTGCATTAAATAAAAAATTATTTACAATTTTAATTTGATTACAAATTTTGATTTTAATCTCTCCATAGTATCTCTGGGTAGGACTAGACCCACCTACCCATGAAGGATGTTAAAATCAAAATTGATGAAGTTTTGGCAATCCCCATTTTTATCTTAATATCCGGCCAAGAAACCCAGGGGTGGATATAGACATCTATGTTATCATATCCCTAGAGGTTTATCATATTCCAAGAGGTTTATCATATTCCTAGAGGTTTATCATATACCTAGAGGTTTATCATATACCTAAAGAGGATCATAATATTCCTAGAGGTTTATCGTATACCTAGAGGTTTATCATATTTCTAGAGGATCATATACCTAGAGGTTTATCATATACCTAGAGGTTTATCATATACCTAGAGGATCATCATATTCCTAGAGGTTTATCGTATACCTAGAGGTTTATCATATTCCTAGAGGTTTATCATATTCCTAGAGGTTTATCATATTCCTAGAGGTTTATCATATTCCTAGAGGTTTATCATATTCCTAGAGGTTTATCATATTCCTAAAGGTTTATCAAATTTGCTCAGATGATTATCATCATCTTTTCTTCAAGTGAAGCTGTTGGCTCAGTTCCTTTACAGAATACTTAACCCAGAACTATATATTTATATATATTGTATACTATATTTAGGTCAGGAGTGAGGATTCAGGATAGAGGATACAGGATACAGGATACAGGATACAGGATACAGGATACAGGATACAGGATACAGGATACAGGATACAGGATACAGGATACAGGATAAAGGATACAGGATACAGGATACAGGATACAGGATACAGGATACAGGATACAGGATACAGAATACAGGATACAGGATACAAGATACAGGATACAGGATACAGGATACAGGATACAGAATACAGGATACAGGATGCAGACACTGGATATTAACTTTTTCATGTTTACAGGATACAGGATACTGGATACAGGATACAGGATACAGGATACAGAATACAGGATACAGGATACAGGATACAGGATACAGGATACAGGATACAGAATACAGGATACAGGATACAGGATACAGGATACAGGATACAGAATACAGGATACAGGATGCAGACACTGGATATTAACTTTTTCATGTTTTCAATATGGGAATGATTGATTTTTAGAATACAAATTTTGAGAGACACAAAGACAAAATTTAGAGATTTGTTTTCACCATTTAGAAAAATATTTTGATATCCTTACATTGTTAATATGTTATTAAAATAAATAATATCATTTTACAGAATCTTGAGCCTCTACATTTTAACAAGATTTTAACTAAGATGGTACAAATTTAAACAATATATTTATTAATAAAACTTATCAACCCACATGCACATTAAACTAGTATAGGACAATACAACTACATATATCATGATGGTAAAATTAAAATACAACATGGTACAATTTCACGTGTAAATGCTACCTTGGTACAAGAAGTGGATACGGTACAATTTCCCGTGTAGGAAAAAGCCGTACCGGTACAAGAAGTGGATACGGTACAATTTCACGTGTAGGAAAAAGCCGTACCGGTACAAGAAGGGGATATGGGACAATTTCACGTGTAAGAAAAGGCCGTACCGGTACAAGAACTGGATAAGGAACAATTTCATGTGTAAGAAAAGACTTTGGCCGTACAAGAAGCGGATACAGTTCAATTTCCCGTGTAAGTAAAGGCCGCACCGGTACAAGAGGTAGATACAGTACAATTTTACGTTTAAGAAATGGCCGTACTGGTACAAGAAGTGGATACGGTACAATTTCACGTGTAAGTAAAAGCCGTACCGGTACAAGAAGTGGATACAGTACAATTACACGTGTAAGTAAGGACTATGGCAGTACAAAAGTAGATACAGTACAGTTTCCCATGTAAGTGAAGGCCGCATCGGTACAATTGGCGTACAATTTCAACTGAACCTGGGTTTAAACGGTATCCGGAAAATAGCATCTCTAAATTTCTTTTAGTACACAAATGGTTTTTTAGTTTTGTCTCTTTAAAGTCTGCATATATATAGATTTATGAAATTTTACACTATACAACTTAATTTGACATGGTAAATTTATATTGTCTAGACCCCCCCAGTTTAATTCACATCATGGTGTACTTTCATTTTAGGATTTCATCAATAAACAATGCACATAATATTGGTGAAATAAATCAGGATAATTTACATTAATAACAATATAAGGATATTTTAGGATTTCATCAATAAACAATGCACATAATATTGGTGAAATAAATCAGGATAATTTACATTAATAACAATATAAGGATATTTTAGGATTTCATCAATAAACAATGCACATAATATTGGTGAAATAAATCAGGATAATTTACATTAATAACAATATAAGGATATTAATATGTTGAGATATAAACATGTAGTGAAAGATTATAATACGCGGATGTAAATATTTTATTGTTTTAAATAACTTACTTGTTCCTGCAGCAGTGCCAGCCAATGCGGCCTCTTTCAGTGCTGAAAAACAACATTTTAAAAATATTAAATAAATGTATTTTTATTATAAAATAAATATCTTAAGAATGTTATTAGATGACAGAAGAAGTAGTTTCGAAAATACATTGGATAAATTTTCAATTTGAATAAATCCTGTTTTAGTCATTTCAAACAGGGTTCGATACAAATCTTTTTGTAAAATGAATATGTATTTAGACTCCAATATTGAAAGAATAGGCATAAGGGGTATTAATGTACCAACGTATTAAAATATCTTGAAAAGTTTTTAAAAGTTTTTAAAAATACTAAAATGATAGAAAAGTATGATTATAATTACATAAGAAAGTCTTCATGCAAAACTTTAATACTTTGATGGGTAAAACTTTGCTGCATAGTTTTTGCATTATTTCAGCAAAGCACATGGTGGGAAACTTCATACAGTGCGCTATAAAATCAAACATTAAACCAATAAATTTTAACAAATTTGAGTTTAGTCTTAACGGATTTTCTTTTACACCTCAAACCTTGGAAAACTTTAATAAACTTTTTCATAAAGTTATCCTTCCCAATCCTATCTATGCATAGTTTCTATATTCTGCAAGGTTTCTATACACACCATTGCATAAATTGTGCAAATCTTACCTTCCTCTTGCTTCCGTCGTTTTCTCCTATTGCAAATTTTGACGGTACAAACAGACACTATAATGGCGACAATGAAAAACAGTACTCCACCTGAACAATAGAATATGTCCTAAAAGTCATGTATTTTTCTTAATTTTTAACGAAGAGATGATGGATATCTCAAGCAAAGTTATTTAGAGAACCTTAATGAATCGGACGAGCTACTTTATAAATGGGGAGTCGATTAAAATTACATAAACAGTCCCTTTAAGATTAATTATTTAATTATACCTATCAGTCCTGCTGTTATAGCCCTCTTTTTGATGTTTGGTGGCATCGGGTATTTGAACTCATCACTAGGCGTGAACGATGTAGCTGAGTGTGAGAATACTCGAAACATATATCCTTTAGCTGTTCCCATATTCTTAACTAAAAAAAACACTGGTTACAATCTGAAGTGCTTGATTATATTATTTTTTTTTTATAAAAACCGAAAAACAAAAAATTTTCTATACCCATCAATAAAGTTTAATATGATTTACAGAATTCTATACAAAGAGAATGAAGTTATACCACGAAATTAACAGAGAGTATGGAGTAAGACAGAGTTATCTTCAACAAAGAGTGTGAAGTATGAAGTTATTTAAGCAAAGAGGATCAAATAAATATATAATGTAATATTTAAGGTTATTTCTAACAAAGAGTATGGAGTAATACGGATTAATGTTATGCAAAGAGAATTGAGTAATATAAAGAGTTATTTTATGCAAAGCTGGGAAAAGAACCAAGTTATTTAAGTACTAAGGATAGTATGGGGTTTCCCTAGGGCTGGCCACGTTCACACTTTTTCAACTGTTTGTTTAAAGTATTTTAAATTAATGTATTTTTTGGTTGATTCAGTCAAATTAAGGAAAGGAATTGAGTTTTAGCCACAAACTCTGATTTTCTTATCCCTATATCTTTACAACCCGATTTCGTAGACCTTTGATATTTCAAACTGTGAAGTCTGTTTATGTTTGTGGCAAAAACTTTGCAAAAACTTTGCCGTTTGTTAAAAAGTTTTCATTTGACATTTTGAATTTTCCGTTTGTTTTTTCAAAAACGACTATTTTTCTTCGTTTACGAACAAGAAGTTAACGTTTTAGTCGCTCCGTTAACAGAATCATTCGCTAATTCTCAAAAACAACTGTTCGGTAACAGAATGTTGCCCAGCTGTATGTTGGCAGTAGGAAAACTTATGAATTAAATAAAAATTCAACCCTTAGTTTTTACTCCAGTTGAGAGATGAGTTTTCATAAAACTTTATTTTCAATACATCAACAAAAATTTTAAGTTATTCGGCAGTAAAATGAAGATAAAAAAACAGGGTTCAAGTTAGTTCCCTCCACTATTCAAAATCAGTTGACGCATATTATTTTTTGACATTTTAGATCACAAATTATTTTTGGAGCTGTAATCATTTTGGTTCAAAATTGAGAAGCAACCTTAGATATAATATCCAGAATTAAACTGCTATGTGAACCAGATAATTGTCAATTCTCTAATCAGAGCTTTTCAGAAATGATTTAAATAAATGAAAAAAGTAGACCATTATTTTCTAATTCCCATTGTAGCGAAAACAATTAAATTACAAAGTTTACCAGAATTGTATATTGGAACTTTTTCTAAAACCCAACTTACTTAGGTAAGATGCTTCCTCGGGTTCAATTTTATGATCTGTGAGTAGATCCCAGGTTGCAGTTTGGGAGTCTTCCTTCTTCTCTATAGTGTAGTAGAGAATAGAGTCTCTTCCCTGACCAACAGGGTTCTCCCAACTACAAATATTTATGACATTAAAGGGACTGTATACGTAATTTCAAGTGACCATTCATACAATAAGAACATCCTTTACGGTGCCCTTTGAGCTTTATTTTTAAAAAATGAAGATATCCTGTTTCAACTTAAAATTGACAATTTAAAATTGTGGATCGTTTTTTTTACAATTGCAGATTTATACAGCAGAAACAAAAAAGGACATTTTCAAAATTGTCCAGATAGAGATACGCGGAAAGTCCCATTAAGAAGGGTTCTAAATCGAATACTAATATACAAAAAAAGGGCTCTTTTGGGTTGAAATTATTAAACTGACAGAGTGGCTGGAACTAATGAAAACGTATGAGCCCCCAGGGTTAAAATTAGTATAATTAAAAAGGTTCCCCTAGAGGGGATACAGAAAATTAAATTGGAATTCCCTTAGCTGTAAAAGCAACCCTTGAACCCTATCGATAATGATATTCTTTACAATTCACGGTAATCTAAACAGAGATTTACAATTCACGGTAATCTAAACAAAGTTTTACAGTTCACGGTAATCTAAACAAAGTGTTACAGTTCACGGTAATCTAAACAGAGTTTTACAGTTCACGGTAATCTAAACAGAGTTTTACAGTTCACGGTAATCTAAACAGAGTTTTACAATTCACGGTAATCTAAACAGAGTTTTACAGTTCACGGTAATCTAAACAGAGTTTTACAGTTCACGGTAATCTAAATAGAGTTTTACAGTTCACGGTAATCTAAACAGAGTTTTACAGTTCACGGTAATCTAAACAGAGGTTTACAGTTCACGGTAATCTAAACAGAGTTTTACAATTCACGGTAATCTAAACAGAGTTTTACAATTCACGGTAATCTAAACAGAGCTTTACAGTTCACGGTAATCTAAACAAATTTTTACAGTTCACGGTAATCTAAACAAAGTGTTACAGTTCACGGTAATCTAAAACAGAGTTTTACAGTTAACGGTAATCTAAACAGGGGTTCACAGTTCACGGTAATCTAAACAAAGTGTTACAGTTTACGGTAATCAAAACAGAGTTTCACTGTTCACGGTAATCTAAACAGAGTTTCACTGTTCACGGATCTATACAGAGTTTCACAGTTCATGGTAATCTATACAGAGTTTCACATGCCACTACACTGTATTTTTAACCCCTGTACACATAGTACAGGAAGTACATTGGTTAATATTCCTATAAAGTAAGGAAAAGTCCTCTAAGTAGGCCCGGAGCACGGAGTTCTGTACTTATCTTGGCAAGTTGTGACTTTCCAGGACAATTTGAGCATTAAAGCATTATTTTTATTTTGCATTTTATTTATTATACTTTTTTGTCGGCCTACGCATTTTCATTAAAAAAAATATAACCAACACGTGATTGAATTCTAATAGCAGAAACCGAATGCATCTCGCCCTGGAAGAACGGGTTATTCCCCCCCCCCCCCCCCCCCGATTCTTATTTAATAATATGGTCAGAAAATAACCCTACTGCCTCAAAACTGTTCTTTTAAGCGTTGGAAATACAATTTATATATAATTACAAATTTTGCAGGTTTCGATCTTAAAAAGAAATACAATAATATAAAATACCGCGGTTTTTATGCGTCAATTGAATATTTTACATTCCTAGATGTTTTACTTAATATTTCCCGAGCTTGTTTCCAATTCAATTCAGTTTTATATTTTCCCAATCTTTACAATCGATAAACATAAACATAAACATAAATAAGAAAGCTGGAAAAATATTAAATTAGCTTCTTCGCGTAGATCCAGATTTCCAGAGTGTGGTTTTTATAGAAAGTAAGAAGTAGTTAAACCAGCTGTTGTTAGTTCAACTATTTCTATCTCGTTAAATTAATTTAGAAAAAAGAATTTTTTTCCTTCCAACCCATTTCATCACAATAAACGTGGATTAACATTCTTTTATGATTTAACCAAGGAATTAAGTGTGTTTAAATAAGTAATAAATTCTAGAAATAAAATAAAAAGCTTTTCTTTTTATTTCGATCCTTTCAATACTTTCTAATTCTGCATTATGAAATGTTCCAATTTTTATTCTATTCACATCCATTTTTCAATTATTTCTTCATATATCACTTTTTTGGTTTTGACTTTTCGAATTTATATTTTTGATAAATGCTGGCCAATGCTGAATACATAAATGTCGTCCCATTAAAAAAACCTGCATTAATTTTTTCAACGTTTTTCAAATTCAATTTGCAAGAAATTGTTCATTTAATGTTCTTTATCTAATCTTAGGAAAGAGAACGTTTATAAATTTTCCAGGGAGGAATACTTTTCCTTAAAATAATTTTGCTTTTTTTGTGCGCCTAATTATACATTTAGGGTCTCGAATAAAATCCTAAATCGGAGAGGGGTGATTCAAAAAATTAAATGGCCCTGAAATTTAGATTATTATAATTTAGCACTACTTGGAAGGGAAGGAGAGGAATAAAATTTGAATAATTGAGGTTAACATGGCTGAACCCATTTTATGCCAAGTGCATAATAGAGGCTTGCACTTTATTAGGACAGCTAGAGAATATTCTAGGATACATTTTCTTTTTCAGGGAACAGTGGGGTATCAGGGGGGGTCTTTTTCAGGGAACAGTGTAACTATATACAGGAACTATATACAGGAACTATATACAGGAACTATAAACAGGAACTATATACAGGAACTATATAAAGGAACTATATACAGGAACTATATACAGGAACTGTATACAGGAACGCCCGACTCCGATATATGCAAATTGTGTACTGTACTCTTTGAGAGGAATGTAAACAAACCCAGTGCCCCCACAGAAGTTGAAGGGAAAGGTTTAAAGTTCTGATGTGATTGTACAGTCCAACAAAAACAAGTTAATAAATCAAGCTAGAGCGAATACTTATGATTTTTGGCTTTCTGGGCAATATATGGAAAATACAATAGCAAATTATTCTTATTCCACCCCTTGTGCCCTTTTCCCTCAAAAATGATGCGTTGCCCATGATTTCTTTATTCTGATCTCCTCACACTGCAGTACACAGATTTTGACGCTTCAGATATGGCGGTTCCTGGTCTATATATTTCTTGAATCTATTTATATATCTAGATGTCTGGCTCTCCGTTTTAAAAAGGGGTCGATCCCGATAATCTTGAAAAATGTTGCTTAAAAAGATTCACTTACACTTTATGATAAAAATTAATTTGTATTTAATGAAAAGAAAATTTGAAAAAGGTTGCATAAAACGAAAGAAAAAACATTGAATTTAAATATTGTTAACGAGTAAATACAAAAATTTAAGTTAGTGCATTAAGTCAATAATGAAGTTTTAAAAACTTATTTAAAACCATAATTAAAAAAGAAAAGGTATTTGTTGCGTAACAAAAAACCCGCTCAACATTCTATGTTATTCTGTCGATGAAAAAGTTTTCTAGATTCCCTGAAACCGCTGAATAGTATTTTGACAAATCCTAAGTAGTTCTGGAATGTTTCCTCAACAGTTGGAAGCAAAAATAAACTTGGGAAGAAGAGATATTGAAACCAATTATAAAGCAAGAAAGTTAAAATGATTTCACCAGAAAGGGATTAAAGAAAAATATCTAGAAAATGTTAATAAAAATGATTGAAATATTAGATTAAAACTATATGTGGGCCAAAGATGAATATGATGCTTCAATTCCGATGGCAATTTGTAAAACCTAGGGTAATCTAAATAGAGTTTTACAGTTCACGGTAATCTAAACATGGTGAAATAAATCAGGATAATTTACATTAATAACAATTATCTAGTACATAATATTCATCTAGTACACAATATTAATCTATTACACAATATTCAGCTAGTACATAATATTCATCTAGTACATAATATTCATCTAATACACAATATTCATCTAGAACACAATATTCATTTAGTACACAATATTTATCTAGTACATAATATTCATCTCGTACATAATATTATTCTAGTACATAATATTCATCTAATACACAATATTCTTCTAGTACATTATTTTCTTCTAGTAAACAATATTCATCTAGTACATAATATTCATCTAGTACATAATATTCATCTAGTGCATAATATTCATCTAGTACACAAAATTCATCTAGTACACAATATTCATCAAGTACACATTATTCATCTAGTACATAATATTCATCTAGTATTTAATATTCATCTAGTAAATAATATTCATCTAGTACACAAAATTCATCTAGTACACAATATTCATCTAGTACACAATATTCATCAAGTACACAATATTCATCTAGTACATAATATTCATCTAGTAAATAATATTCATCTATTACATAAACTTAGTGTCTGATCAGTTTTGTCTTTCATTTACAAAGAAAAAAAAATCATGCTGTAATATAATTAAAGAACATCTTTTTGGTTGTTTGTATTGTTGTTTGCAAGTTTTGACAAATTAAGAATATTTCTAAAACTAATCTTTCAAAAATTTGAAATCTCTGTCCTACAACCCCCCCCCCCCATGCTACTAAACACCCCATTAGTCCGTCTGAATTGCTGAACCAAATGTCAAAAATTGTAAATATTTCTAAACTACCAACATAATTTAAGAAAATGATGTTGTCAACTTTTGATTTAATAAAGGGGTTTGATTGATTTGAAAACTGAAAAGTTTATAAAACTTCTAGAAAGTCAATACACAAATTTATAAAACTCAATACATTGAAACATGTAAAAAGCACATGCAAATAATCAACCGTTAAAAAAAAATAATAAGTATTATTAAAAGAACAAAATAAAGTTGAATAAAGCTTGAAATACATTTATATTGCAATGGTTAAAAGTGCATATTAAGGTTCCTACAATATAGAGGTTTATAATAGGTAATAGTAACACATATTGACAGGTTTATTGTCTAGTCATATTACAGTAATTAAAGGAATTAGTACTTTTATTCTACAACAATATATTAAAACGATATGTACAAGCATGTACATTGTACATGTGAACACTTTACACTTTACAGAAAACACAAGATAAGGTTAATGTCGGAGACTCGGAATACAGTTCAATGACGTTCTTCTTTAAAAGGAATTATTAATGCCATATGTCATAAACAAAGTTAACGGAAGAGACGTTTTGCATTTTGGACGTCACATTTTGTAGAAACATGTGTTCTTAGATCAAGGTTTAAAGTGGCATGTTATAAACTGGATGTTGATTGATTGATTGAGGAACTTTATATGTAATTTCAAGTGACTAGCATTGAAAGATTGACATGCCTGTTCACTTTACTCATTTATCAGATAAATAATGAGGAAGATATCGTCGTGTTTCTGTTTCTGTTTCCTTCCTAAACTCTCTGATTAATTCCTTAATTTTCAGTCCATTGCAATGGAAGGTAATCAATGTTTAGAAAGAAAATCAGTGATAACTTCACAGGGGCGTATGAGGGAGGGCACCAATGGGGGGGGGAGGGCTCTTTTAATATTACATCTCTTGCATTTCCCTTCCACAGACAATCTACATTCTACATCGCATTACATTGCACTCACCCAAACTAAAATATTAAGAAAAGAAATAAAATATATTCTGATTGACATCAATACCCTTCAAAGCTTAGTCTGATCAAGTAGAAGCTTACACCACAGTATTAAGAGGAAGTGTCTGATGAGTCTACTTAAGAAAATTACATAAATAATTTATTAACACTTGAAGTGTGTTTATGATCGAATAGTTTAAAAAGTATCAATATTTTTTCAAAAAAGGGGGTTTAAATGCTCTCGTACGCCCCTGTAACTACATCATTTTTCACGTAGACAAATGTTTAAATGCTTCCATCGGGAATCGTATATGCAACTTGTTAGATAGAGGTTCACTTGAAATTACGTCGCGGTCCCTATATTATGTACGTGTACATATGTACAGTGACGTACACCCGTACATAGTGTTTAAATATTACCTTGTACATGCGGTATAACCGGTATAACAGTAGAACCAGTTATAACGTCAATAGAGAACAACTTTGCTCCAAAACTGTTCTCTTTGATGTCTAAAATCAAAACAAAACAAAAATAAAAAAAATAAAAAAAACATTCCAAAAGTGAAGCAAGCAAAAACAAACTAGTTTGAGAAAAATCCGCAACACACTCCGTAACATTTCATACATCGGTGTATTGATTTGGAAAATATGAATATTAAATATTGATAATATTGGAAAGATTGACATATCAGTGACATAGAAAATAAAGAACACTGCTGTCGAAATCGTTACAATAAAAAAATTGCGGATTTCCGTGAAAATAAAAACTAAAACACCACGTTAAAAATTCATGCCGTTAAAAAAAAACTAAATAAAATGGCTAATTCTGAGTTTCCTCCAGTCTTGAGTTAAGATATGTCAATTTTCTTACTATCAATACTCTGAAGGGGCGGCATTCCTTTGAACGGTGTAATGTTCAGGTTTAACTCAATACAATCTAAACAGGGTCCACAGTTGAGCTGATGAATGCCTGATCAATGATTGGTTATGATTTAATCAATGAACGTGTATGGAATGTTACCGGTGTTAGCTAGAAGTTTCCTGGTTGCAGGCGCGGGAATACAGTTTCTTCCTATACACATACAGCCACAAATTAGATAAATTTTTTCTTCAAAAAACCATGAAAAATCCAAACATAAATATTAGAGATAACAGAATTTATTGTTTGAAATATCAATATAAAAGGATTGAGGCTAGTGTTCAGCTCTTTGGCAAAAATTGTCAGACTGAGTTTTAAATGTTAAGTATTCCTGCTCTTGTTCTTGGTTACTCCACTATTGATAAAGACTGAGGATAAAACATGCAAGTGTGAGCTACACTACTAAACCGTCCGCACAGCTGTGCAGCTTACCAGGAGCAGTGGATTGTTCGGACGGATATGCAGATGGCATAGGATGGGTTCTGATGTCAACTAGATACCCATCTAAATTTTATATTCAGATATAAAACCTTGTCAGAACCTCAAGCCCTAGACCCGACTCTAGTGGTTTGTCTGTCTTCGCTTTTCAAATTAAACAAATCCGCCAAATTAATGAGTTCTCAGCAAAGTTTTTTGCTTTAAAACTAAATTGTTTTCCTTGAAGTTTATGAAGCAATTTAGCCCGGCTAAAAATGTTCTAAAGTTTCTTAGCATATTCAAACTTTTCGTTTTCTTGTCTTTCATGCCAAAGTGGCAAATTTTATTTATAAAGAATTAAATAAAAAAAATTCATTTTTCTTTTCTTAGTTTTCGAAATATAATTTTAGTCCAAACTTGACGAATCCTTATTGAATGAGAAAGTGAGCAAATCAAGGTACAATCATGACCAGCCAAAAGCTCTATACATCTTTCCAATTTAAAATATTTTGGAATTTAACACTATGAGTTTTGCTAAATAAAATGGGCACAGTTTGAAATATTAAATTTTCACACCATCAGGTTGACAAGAGGAATTAGAGTTTGCGGCGAGTAATTAAATAGTTCCCAAATTCAAGAAAAAATAAAACCTACCTTTAGTTTTCGCCTCGACAATCTGGGAAAACATGCCATCTCCATATTCATTCATACCAATAACCTTAAAAGGAATTGTTACAAACAAACTCTGATTTTCCATTACCTATATTTTTCCCACCTCATGGTGTAAATCTTTGATATTTCAAACTTAGATTCTTTTATATAACAGAATTCATAGTTTGAAATATCTAAGGTCTCGGCAAGATATAAAGATTAGAATATCATAGTTTGTGACAAAGACTCAATTTTTTAAAATCTGAATTCTTTGAAAATATATATGTTAACTTTTATCATCAAAATCAAAAGTTCCGCAACAAACTCTAATTTTACAATCCCTATCTTTTCACTCGATGTTGTTTTATATCTTTGATTTTCAAAATTCGAATAGTCTAAGTTTGAAATGTCAAAGGTTTACACCATCAGGTTATAAAGATTTAGGAATCAGAAAATTTAGATCTGTGGCACGAACTCAGTTCTCTTATCCCAAAAAAATAAAAATTCGAACGATGGCTGAATTTTTTGTCTATCTTTAATAAAACACTCCTGTATGCCGAGTCCATTAGCGCCTGATCCAATCAGGATTCAGTCATGTGTTTGCTGTCTATTCTGAATCAATAGAAATAGTATGGCGGTAAAATCTATCTTTTTATCTATCTCATTATCCAATCAGAGTTATCAGTAAAAGGAAATATTTACTTCTACTGAAACTATAGTGGAAAACCAAATTCATAAATACAATTGCCCGCCGATATAAGGCTTTATCTCTAATTGGATGATGAGATAGATAGAAAGATAGATGTTACCGCTATGCAATTGGTTCAATTGGTTCAAAATAGACAACAAACACATGACTGAACCCTGATTGAATCAGGCGCTAATGGACTCGGTATACAAGTGTGGCACGAAGAAAATATATATTCAACATAATGTTTACCTGAAATTCATAAATAGTCCCTTGACTGAGATTATGTATTTGAACTCTTCTAGCTTCAGGAGGATGAACAGGAAGCTCAATCCAGTTTGGTGTACGGGAATCCTTCTCCTTGTACCTGTACATAGATATATAAATATAAAACTGTACAACGGTTTTAAGTAAACGTGATTTTGTAATGTACAAATGTACATACGAAATTGTTCTAAAATAAAAAAATATACAAAAAATATATATGAGAGAACCATTAAAATATTAAAGAAACTTATTTGTTATATCTGTAATAATGTTTTGAATCATTTCACATTCTTTTAAGACCAATTACCTTTCTTCTAAAAGTCATATTATGATAAATTTTGATGAAATCAACACGTTTACAAAATAAAGTGATCATTATTGGAATTTTAAAAAACATGATAAAAGGATTGTTGAACGCTTCTTGGTATAACATCTTTTTTTAAACCAAACATTTCTTATGTGCATTTAAATAATACAACAGGGATTTTTTATTTTACTTTAAAAAATGTCAAAACTTTGCAAATTAAAATTTAATGTATTTTATTCTGAGATAAATGTAAATCTGGCAGCAACTAAATCAAAATTCAAATCCTGGTTTTAATTTAACTTTGGATCAATGAATAAATATAATATATAGAGGATATATATTCCAGTTATATACCGGCTGTGTCAAATATACTGTTTAATTTACAATATTCTCAAACTTTAATGTTTTATGTATTTATATAATATATACTTTTCTAAAACAGAATAAGAGAATATAAAGGAGGGAAGTTAAGTTTAGAAGAATATAGAGGAGGGAAGGTAAGTTTAGAAGAATATAGAGGAGGGAAGGTAAGTTTAGAAGAATATAGAGGAGGGAAGGTAAGTATAGAAGAATATAGAGGAGGGAAGGTAAGTATAGAAGAATATAGAGGAGGGAAGGTAAGTAAAGAAGAATATAGAAAGGGAAGGTAAGTATAGAAGAATATAGAGGAGGGAAGGTAAGTATACAAGAATATACGAGGAGGGAAGGTAGGGGAGAATTATATGTTTCTGTATTTGCATAAAATTGATTTGTTACAAAACAAATAAATCAGAGAATATATAAACCAGAGATATAAAGTGTAGATGGGGGTAGGGTAGGATATATCAAAGGGTAGAGGGGAGGATATATAAAAGGGTAGAGGGGAGGGTAGGATGTATTAAAGGATAGAGAGGGGGAGGGTCAGGATATATTAAAGGGTAGAGGGGGGAGAGGCAGGATATATAAAAGGGAAGAGAAGGGGTTGGATATATTAAAGTGTAGAGGGCCTGACATATTAAAGTGTAGAGGGCCTGGACATATTAAAGGGTAGAGAGGGCCTGAATATATATAAAAGGTACAGAGGGCCCAGGCATATTAAAGGGTAGAGAGGGCCCAGACATATTAAAGGGTAGAGAGGGCCTGGATATATTAAAGGGAAGAGAGGGCCCAGGCATATTAAAGGGTAGAGAGGGCCCAGACATATTTAAAATGTATGAGAGCCTGGATAAATTAAAGGGTCTAGGGCCTGGATATATGAAAGGGTAGTGAGGGCCCAGATATATTAAAGGGTAGAGAGGGCCTGGACATATTAAAGGGTAGAGAGGACCCAGACATATTAAAGGATAGAGAGGGCCTGGATATATGAAAGGGTAGTGAGGGCCCAGATATATTAAAGGGTAGAGAGGGCCTGGACATATTAAAGTGTAGAGAGCCTGTATATATTAAAGGGTAGAGAGGGCCTGGTTATATTAAAGGGTAGAGAGTGCCTGGATATATTAAAGTGTAGAGAGGGCCTGGACATATTAAAGTGTAGAGAGCCTGGATATATTAAAGGGTAGTGAGGGCCCAGATATATTAAAGGGTAGAGAGGGCCTGGATATATGAAAGGGTAGTGAGGGTCCAGATATATTAAAGGGTAGAGAGGGCCTGGACATATTAAAGTGTAGAGGGGGCCTGGATATATTAAAGGGTAGAGAGGGCCTGGATATATTAAAGGGTAGAGAGGGCCCGGACATATTAATGGGTAGAGAGGGACCAGATATATTAAAGTGTAGAGAGCCTGGATACATTAAAGGGTAGAGAGGGCCTGGATACATTAAAGGGTAGAGAGGGCCTGGATATATTAAAGGGTAGAGAGGGCCTGGATATATGAAAGGGTAGTGAGGGCCCAGATATATTAATGGGTAGAGTTGGCTGAAGGGGGTGTTTCAGGTCCAATTGTAACCTCCAGAGGCCGAATTTAAAGAATTTGAGACGCGACTCAAGTTGTCATGGTTCCCCTTAAAATTAATTTTATTGTTTCGAGATTTGAGCCGTCGCTCAATAAATTTATTTTTAATGTTTCGAGATTTGAGCCGTCGCTCAATTGGAACCGGATTTTAACGATTCAGCGATGGGTTAAAATTCATTAAGTTCGGCCTCAGGTAAAATATCATTGCTGTCATTTACAATTGTAACATAACAATAGTAACCAGAAAACAGCGTAATTATTGTCGTCTTTTTTCTTTCTTTTAATTTTGATATGTTGCTAAGGTTGTACAATTTAAACCGTTCAATTCCTAAAAATATGCCAAGAGCTTTTTCATATGTATATCAGTTAAAACAAATACAAAATATTTTTTTTAAAATATTATTTAAAAAATAAAGAACCGAAAACAACGATATTCCATGAATATTCACATAAATTTAAATACCTTCTTAGTGACTGTAACATTTTGTGGTGCATGTGGTGTGGTGCGCTCCACGTATAGTGTACTCTCAACAGATAGGGTTGCTACCTCATTCGTGACCTAAACCACAGGGGTTATTACAACTTTTAAATGAAAAAATGAAAGTGAAAGTTCCAAACTTTGATTTGGCCAGACATTATTTTGTTTTCTTCAAAGGGAGTGTTCGCGAAAAATGAAAGGAGGTATAGGCTTAATGCGATAAAAAGCGCTTTTGATCGCTACTAATCTTACTTCTATCTGTTGCGTCTATAAGGAGAAAATTGTTAAAAACGACTAATACCGAAGAACGTAGTGTTGGTTCCAAGAACCATTCTCCAAGTGATGAGATGAGAAAATATAATGAATTTCCATCTGAAAGACCGGGATCACTTACTTTCATCTTTATTGAAAATGCGGTATTTATCAATATAGAAATATTTGGGGACTCAAGTAACATTTATCAATTCATTATCAGATACCATGATTCATGATTCATGATGTTATTCAAGTTTTCTTAAAGTAGTTTAATCTCTGTTTGTCTGTCTGAACTCATGAACCCCTGAACCGATTTGTCTCAAATTTTGGTTGGGGAACTTGGTAGAACTATGGGAATTCTTAGCTTGGTTTAAAAATTCTAACTTGTGTTGGACGACTTTTTAGATAATATAAATATTTCCAAGCAAAGCTGGGTTAACGAGCTAGTGTTCTTATAAAATAATAAATCTATAGTTTAGAATCCTGAAGGTTAAAATCATTAATGTTGTCAAGATAATGGTATTAATATCAATTATATATTCATATTACTTCCAACATTAAACTTTAGAGTTAATTCTCTACAGTATATATTGAAAATTTAAAGTATTGATTTTAAAGCTTAATTAAGTCTTTACATATTAGAAAATATGATATTTGCAAGAACACAAAACTAAGGTTTGTATTCGTTAAATCTAGTTCAATCTATGCTAAAACATACAGAAATTAAAAGAGAGGGAAAAAATCTATTTTTCATTTTATCCTGACGGGAAACTGGTTTTATTGTAAACATAACACGTAGATTGTAAACAAGGCTCGGAATTCCTGGATTTGGTTGGAGCACCGGGCCTGGGCAATTGCTTTTTGTTCTGCGCATTAAAAAAACAATTTCTAATTCCTTTCATATATAGTTCAGTACATTTCACTGTACACTGTACAGTTTACAGTGTACAGTCTACACTGCGCAGTGTAAACTGTAAAGTGTAAACTGTAAAGTGTAAAGTGTACAGTGTACACTTTACACTGTACATTCGGTACTGTAAGAAATTAAATCTTACCAAGCATTTATAAACTCCATGATCCTTCTTCATCAAACTTTTTATCTTGAGGATACCGTTGCTCACCTCGTGCCGGCCCTGGACAATCAATTAATCAATTAGTCAATCAATCAATCGATTAATCAATTAAGTAACTAATCAATCAATCTATCTTCCGATCGATTTATCAACTTTTTAATTAATTAATTAATAAGTTCATCCATCAAAGAATTCATCAATTCATTTAAATATTAATATTTTTGTCAATTAATCTGTCAATAAATCAATCAATTTTTCAATCAATCAATCAGTTAATCAATTCATAAATTAATCAATTAATTAAAGGTTTATTTTCTATTCAGCTAATTTTTCTTGGAAATTGTATTGAAGTATATCTTTATATCAGCAATAGAAATATCTATCTATCTATCTATCTATCTATCTATCTATCTATCTATCTATCTATCTATCTATCTATCTATCTATCTATCTATCTATCTATCTATCTATCTTTCTATCTATCTATCTATCTATCTATCTATCTATCTATCTATCTATCTATCTATCTATCTATCTTTCTATCTATCTATCTATCTTTCTATCTATCTATCTATATATCTATCTATCTATTTGTCTTGGTACAATAAATCAATAAAAGACCAAAAATGATCCACCTCGACAATTATTCTTCTATTCACTCAATTATTTGGGATTTTTTCTAATTACTTTCTGTTTATTTAATGTTAATTTTTATAAAGATATCAATAGTTTTTTGGTTTAAATAATCCCAGTTTTATTAATAAAGTTTTTTAAAATTGTAAACAACAAGAAACAATGCAGCATCGATCCAATAATAAAATTATTGGATCATGCAACCCCCCTTTTCAAGAAGAAAAAAATAAGAAAATAAAATATCAACAAACAATAACCATACAAAGAAATTTAACACTGACAAAATTTAATTTTCATATCTGAATATCTTAATGAAAAAATAAACAACCGATTGGCCTAAAAACAAAGAACTATAAAACAATTAAAATGCATGAACCAATTAGCTAAAAAAAACAATCAACTACAAATGCACTATCAGTCAACTAAAAAAGCTATATATATTTCAACAAAATTAAATAAGTTTTAACTTTTATTAAATGAATACACATGATTAATGAAAATATCATATTTTTATTTTATGAATATAATTTCTCTCTCATGAATATTTCTTATTTTCGAGGAATTAAAAACATCCATAATTCAATTCTCAAAATATTTTAAACCATCAAAAATTTTGTTCAGAGTGTTTATCATGAAACATTATTAATATTTGAAAATGATGATATGAAAATTCAGACTTTAACAGAAAGTTGCAATATATATATATATTGTTGGCTTTTCATTAAATGTGCGCTAACGCAATCATGGAATAACAATGACATGCCGATTCGTTGCATTAGGGAACAAAGTATAGATTTAATGTTTTCCTTTGAGTTCAAACATTAAACAACGGGTCCCATACAGCTGTGGAATAAAATACCACTCTTAATATTTTGAAATAGATCAAAAAACATTAAACACAGTAATTTTCCACTTTTAAGGTAATGCAGGAAATCCCGTTTGGTTTATAATAACATCAAATATAAATAATGTTGCCAAATGTCTTGTGCCCCAATTTACCTTAGGTAAAGGATGTCCATCTGCTCTGACCCATTGTATAGTCGGTGTAGGTATACCACTAGCACTGCAGGACAGAGTCACCTTAACATAAACAAGATATACCACTAGCACTGCAGGACAGAGTCACCTTAACATAAACAAGGTATACCACTAGCACTGCAGGACAGAGTCACCTTAACATAAAAAAGTTTTACCACTAGCACTTAACACTGCAGGGCTGAGTCATCTTAACAAATAACAAGGTATACCACTATCACTGCAGGGCAAAGTCACCATAGCATAAAATAAACAAGGTATACCAACTAGCACTGCAGGGTAGAGTCGCTTTAACATAAACAAGGTATACCACTAGAACTAGCACTACAGGATAAAAACATAATTCACACCACATAGCTATGTCTTTGCAACCTGATGATATTAAACTTTTTTATATTATAAACTTCGACGATTTATTTTCTTTAGTTTAGAATATCAAAGGTTCACAAGAGATTTTGGATGTTGTTTTATTGCGTCAGGTTGTATACTGTATATAGTATAAGAGGATTGTAAGAATAATACCAGGGATGGAGGAGAAAGACAGGACAGAGGATTCAAATATATAAACAGGGTTTATGCAGCATGAGAAGAAAAATGTTTGAATACATAGTATTGTTCTGAGCTGGCTGTAAAGCATTTCTTTACAACTCTGTCTCTCGAGAATAAAAGCAAAAATTGTGAAATTTCCAACAAAGATTTGGATAAAATTAAAGAGAAGGGTGGAAAATTTTAAAAGATTTTAAATTTCAAAAAAGCTTGAAAAACCTGGCGCAAACAGCTTTACAGAAATCTTCAAAACAACTTCAAAACAATTGACTAATATCTTTACTCCAGTAGTCGATCAATTTAAGAGCCTCATTCATTTTACACCTTAATGCGCAACAAAAAGAAAGATATTGCCGTTTTTCTGCCTTAAAAATTGATAATTTTTTCCCCTATGATGCATGAACCCGCAATTATCATTTTAGAGAGAAAACAAGGATATTTTTTATCAATTTTGCAAAGGTACTGTTGTGAATTGGACATGATGCTCTTCGAATTGAGGGTCACTTGAAATAAAGTCTACATGACCCTTTAAACAAGATTGCAATCCCTCCCTTTAAGAAATGCCGGGGATTGGAAGTATTCCCAATACAGTAGAACATATATTAGAATACAGATACAATATTATTCCATTATTCAACTTCAAGTTGCAAAATTATTCAAGATTAATTTAATTCTAATAATTTCAGCTCGACAATGCATTGCTGAAAGAGACTGACAAGGAGTTAGGTATTTCAAGGGATCATGAAAAACGAAATAAGTAATATTTTTATGAAGTTAGGTACTTTCCCAAAGGATTTTCCCCAAGCGGTAACTTCCCAAGGGTATTTTCCCAAGTGGAAACTTTCCAATTGTGCAATTTCACCAAGCGGTAACTTCCCAAGGGTATTTTCCCAAGTGGAAACTTTCCAATTGTGCAATTTCACACGAGGCAACTTTCCCAGTATGTTCTAGCCGCAGCGCTCGCCCCCCTGATCTGTTCTAGCCGCAGCGTTCGCCCCCCTGATATGTTCTAGCAGTAGCGCTCACCCCCCACCTGATCTGTTCTAGCCGCAGCGCACATGGCAGCCAGAAGACATAACCTTTGGGAAGTTTCCGCTTGGGAAATTGTACGTTTGGGAATTTTTCACTTTAAAAATTGTCACTAGGGAAATTGTGCTTGGGAAAACATCAAACACCATTTTTAAGTAGATCCCAGTGTTGCATTTAAACCATTGTTACAACGGCGAAGAAATATCAAAATGTGTGGGTGGTGCACACTGCAGGGTAGAACATCAGACGATATATTAAAACAGAATCAAAAATATTTAAATCTGAACGGAAATATTGTCTTATGGTCATCAGCACTACCAAATATTGTTCTTAGGTTAACCGGAAAAGCAAAAAATATAAATAATAAAGTTTATTATGATGGAAGGAATGTGATGTAAGCTAACTTTTCTAGTAAACTTAAACTTTTTTAATCAACTCTGGGCTGGGCTAAGCTATAACAATCTACAAAGAATTTAAACCTATTTGTTGAAAACTTTAGAATTTAAATATTTTTAGGTCAGAAAAGTCACTAAATTCAAGAGCAGGGAATATTTATTTTTAAGTTCATTAGTTACAGTTTACATGACAATGCACATTTGTAGCGCCTTCATACCGTTTTTATTTGATGAAGCTAAACTAACAAACTGGTTTATTTGATGAAGCTAAACTAACAAACTGATTTATTTGATGAAGTTAAACTAACAAACTGGTTTATTTGATGAAGCTAAACTAACAAACTAACAAACTGGTTTATTTGATGAAGCTAAACTAACAAACTGGTTTATTTGATGAAGCTGAGCTAACAAACTGGTTTATTTGATGAAGCTGAACTAACAAACTGGTTTATTTGATGAAGCTAAACTAACAAATTGGTTTATTTGATGAAGCTGAATTAACAAACTGGTTTATGAAGTTTATGATCAGTTCTTTCTGATTTTCATAATCTTTTTTTTCTAAACTTCATTTTACCCTTAATACATTTCATTTTTTTCTTAAATGGGTAATTAATGAATTTGTTTTAAATGATTTTTGTTTTTATCTGTTATAAAAAGGTTTCTCATCCTAAACAAGCGGCGATTGTTAAACAGACTTTATCTATTAGAATGACTAAAATACATATGATATTTCAATAGTAAAAACAATCTAGTTCTAAAAATAAAAACATTTTTTTATTGGTGTTCACACAATAATTTTTTTAGGTGGTAAACTTACTGAATTTATCTTAATTCCTCATTTCAAAATATTTGTCTTTTTCATTAAACTATTTTCTCTAATTCTCCCTATTTGGAATTAAAACTTTTGGAAAATATGAGTTCCATTAAAACTTCCCCTCTAATATAATTTTCATTATATGCTTCAACTGTTTGGTTTTAATTCTGGTTATTTCTACAATGTGTTGGTTTCGTCCCCATCCAATTACAATTCACGAACCCAGCTTTGACCAATTTGCAGGGGTGTATATATATCCCCTCAGTATATGAAAATCATTGCTTCCCAGGGAATGAAAATAAATGATTCTTAGGGTAACATAAATGATTTTTTTTTGGAAAAAGTATCAAGAACGGATAAAAAACTTTTGTTAAACAGTAAGCAGTAAACTTATTTATTAGATTTCAAGGCAAAGCTAGGTTCCCGAACTAGTAAGCAGTAAACTTATTTATTAGATTTCAAGGCAAAGATAGGTTCCCAGTAAACAGTAAGCAGTAAACTTATTTATTAATAAAATATGTAAATAATTCTACTGCTTGCCAGCAATACACTAAATTATACCACTACAGTGTTTGTTTCTTACTTACACCACACCAACCTTCAATTTTGTTCTTGCTATTTTTTTTCTTTACTTTTATGAAGCTGTCCTTAGTATATCCCTGCATCTTGAACTACTGCTGTTAAAAGATCTATTTTTAAAATTTTGATTGTAGTTATTTCTAAGGCTTGAACTCAGGGGGCGGGCATAACTCTCCTAATTTTGCCTGGCTAGGTTTATACTGTACAGTGAAATTTGTCGAAAAATGTTTCCTTATGACTGAGTTGTAAGGAACTGAGTTTTTGCCGCAAACTCAGATTTTCTCATAACTATGTCTTTGCAACTTGAAGATGAAAACCTTTGATATTTCAAATATAGACAATTTGATCTTTCAGAAATAATAGTTTGAAATATCAAAGGTCTACGACATTGGATTGCAAAGATATAAGGATGGATAAATTTGAGTTTGTGGCAAAAACTCATTTCCTTTGACTTGTTTTTACTACATTCAACTACTACTATACTATTGCGTCTGTTAATGCTACATTCCTGCAATTAAAGTTTTTTTAGAAAGATAATGGTAATTAAAGAATATTCTCTAATCTTGGATAAGACATGTAATGAGCACTTTATATTCTACATTCTAGTTTTATATGGTTTATATGCAATTTCGTGCTAAAGTATTTGATATCAATATTCTATAAAAACGCAAGGCCCAAAAAGCAAGAAAAGTCTATTCTTTTTTTCTAAATTAAAAGTTATAATTTTTGAGAGCTATTAAATATCAAGATTTTGATATTTAACTAAATCAGATGAGTGTAAACATAGATTAATAACTACACAGCTAGAACACTAGATGTTGTCTTTTCAAGAATTAGGGGTTTTTATAACCCTGAGGTAGAGGTCCACAGGAGTCATACGTATGCAACGTAAAAAAGGATCTATCTTTGTCTTATATCTCAACGCAGCATGCGCTTAATTCCTTTTGACTTTTGCCTCAGGGTTATTGTAAACGAAAAACACCTAAATCTTCAAAAGGCTACATCAAGTGTTCTATCTGTGTTGTTAACAATCTATGAATGGTAAAGCGTCGATTTTTTAAAAAGTAAAAAATTCTTTATATCCACCAATTCTTTCGTATTATTGTAAAGAAAAATGGGGGGAAAGGTTTGTTTAGTAGTATCCCCCTTTTCCAGTCAATTAGGGTAAATGTATTTTTCTAATAAAACTTGTGTGTGATTCGTGTCAAAACTTTACACATAAAAAGCGGAGTTTAACAAAGTATAAAAACTACACTGTTTGCACGCAATTCTGCAAAAACAAAAGTTTGCAGGGAAAATAAATGCTTTCTTCAGATCACGTGATACCTGGGGTGATACAATATATTTGATCAAAATATGTCGATTTTTATTCTTTAGGAAGGTGGTAAAAAAGACGAAACAAAGAAATTGAGTATTTGCAGCAAACTAAAATCTTCTGATCCCAATATCTTCGCAACCTGATGGTGCAAACCATTAATATTTCAAACTATTCAAATATAAATAGTTTGAAATATCTAAGGTCTACGACATTGGGTTACAAAGATATAGAGATTAGAAAATCAGAGTTTGTGGCAAACATTCAACTCCTTTACTTAAGCATTTTTTATTTAAGGTTGTTTAACTCACCGAGTTTCCTACGTTGAGATTATATGAATCCTGAGGTTTAACTTGAATCTGCGGAGGCTCCCTAACATGGACCTAAAATTAAAATATTAAAATTAAAAATTAGGATGAAAATATGAAAACTTTCAAGCATAATTTCAGGTGACAATGCCCGATTCACAACGGTACCCTTGAAACTTTTATTTGATTAATTATATTAAAGATGTTATCGGTTTTTTTAAGGTTTAAACGTGTTTAATTCTGATAACCCTAATATGCGGAAGTAACTTTTATAGAGAAACCACAGTTGAAAACAATCAGTTTTGAATAATAAATACATTGCCGTCATATCTATCTAATTCATAACGGGATCAGACAATGCTTTTAAGAGTAACGTTGTGATTCGGGAATTCTTTGCTCTCATCTGTTGTATCAAGATGAATTTCTTGTCAGCATTTACAAACTACTTTTAGCTCGAGATAACGGATATTTTTATTAATTCTTCAATGTAAAATATAAATTATACAATATCTCGGCGCTAAAAATGGTTTTATAAGAGTAATAGCCAATTCTATCAGATAAGAAAGCGCCCGCTTTGAGCTTCAGTTTTAAAAGAGTAATTGGCATAATTCTCTAAGAATAATGCGTAAGAGGGTGCACATTTTGCTTCAATGAGTGATCGTTGGGCTAAAAATAATTCTGAAGGCAGTTCGACTCTGATAAGATTAATTTTTACAATGCATAAACCCGCCGAATAATGTACCAAGTACCAAGAAGAAAAGAATGAAAATGTAGAAAACTGAGAATTTATTTAGAATACATGAGGCAGCAACATATTGGTTTTAACAACTGTAAACTTTAACCAGAAAACATGTTTAAGAAAAATATTAAGGAAAACAGTTTAAGAAAATGTACGTTTTAACACCCAGCTCCACAATCTGTAAGCGAAATGCCTCCCCCCCCCCACTGAGCTGAAATCCCATGAGTGCTAGTTAAGTGGACACTTCAAATCTGAAAATTTATGGAAAATAATGAAATTCATAAAATGTAAAATAATGTTAAATATAAAATCTTTTTTTCACAATTTATTTTTAAATTTGAATTTTTTTAAACAAAATTTAAAAAGAGCAGAATCATAGAAACATGATGTTTATTGTTGATAGTTTTACACTCTCTTTTGGAACCTGTCGAATCCTAAAAAAAATAGAAATCGGACAGTCGGACACAGAGAAAAAATCGACATGACTTTCTGAAACCTTATTTTAACGTTTAATTTACATGTACAATTTAGATTTTTTTTTAAATGTCTCACTTGAAAGAAAATTAGTGTATGCAGAGAAAGCAGATGAATGAAAATGGAAACACATTAAGAAGAAGGAAAGTATGAGTAAATACATTACTGCAGAAGTTTTAATGACTGGATAATTATTCGTCTTTCTTCCCTAACTCATAATTAAACCGTTGTATTCTTTCTACAACAGATAAATCAGAATTTTATTACTCTAAAGAAGGAATTCTAATCTTACACAAAGAAGGAAAATCATATGTACACTGTATATCAATAATGCATTTGATTTACCGACTGTACTGTGCTGATTTTTCGGTGTATGGTGTACACAAGGTTATATTGTTTACCTGTCAGAAGCCTGATGTACCGGCTGTACCATGCTGCTTGTAAGGTGTACATTAGGTGTGGGTGTACACTGTAAAGTGTACAATGTACACAAGTTTATTTCTGTTTATCTGCATAATGCCTGATGTACTGGCAGTACCGTGCTGCTTGTACGGTGTACATTAGGTGTGGGTGTACACTGTACAGTGTACATAAGTTTATTCTGTTTACCTGCATAATGCCTGATGTACCGGCTGTACCGTGCTGATTGTACGGTGTACATGTATATTCTCCTGCGTGGCTGTTGGTAACCTGAACAGAAGGAATAATTAATTTAATTACATTCAAGGATATTTAATTAGATCAAGTTTATTCAAAGCGAACCATAGTAGATTCTGGCCCGGTAGAAAATAAACACATTCCTTAAACATAATCAAAATAAAAAAAGACAGCAATAAGATAAAGAACAAAACGGAATGAAAATATCTTATCTATTTTACAGCATGAGAAAAACTATATGTATTTGACTTGGACCAAAGACGACATTCTGGTTCCTCTACACATGCTTAATTAGTTTTGAGTATTTCGAAGAGCTACCTTCACGCGTAATTTCAATAAAATGAAACTAAACGCTTATAGTTGATATACAGGGTTACCCACAAAAGGTTGAGAATTCAGAGACGACTGCATGGAATGTATACTGTCCAATGAAAGTTGGAGAAACGGGTCTCAAAATGCATAAAAAAAATTGGTGGCATTAACAACATAAAATTCAGAAACTCCGTTTCTAGCAATCATATCTGCAGCATCGCATACATATTTTAAAATTTCCCAAGAACTCCCACATATTGAAAATGTTTTCTTGGATTTATTTGCTATAAAATTTAGTTAATTCAAATATCATAGAAATTTCATTTTTAAAAGAAATGTTTAAAAAAACCAAAAATTAAATTTGCGATTCTTTGCTGAATTTATAAATTATTATCTCTGCAGTGAGGCGGGGATTAAATCAAGTTTATTCTCGAACTGGGGGAAAAAGATTTAATCTTCGGATCCTAGCGTTCAAGCGACATATATTTCAATTCAATTCCTCCAATCCTTTACAAATAGCCGGCGGGAAAAAGCTAAAAAACAGAAGAAAAAACTGCGTAAACAGATCAGGAAAACTTGAAAGGGTATATCCAGGATATAAATATAAAAATGTTTTTTTTAAGAATCAAAATATTTTTATTTTTTCAGAAAGTTTACACAGTGCGGAAAAGTATGATAGCAGGCATGATGTTACAAATAGGAAAATATTATCTTTTTCCTTGCGCAGAGTAGAAAATAATTAGAAAAGTAAGTATAACATCCTGCAGTCTTCTTACTTACACAATTTGAGCTTAACAGAACTTTTTTCTCTCTTGAAGAACAATTTTTGCATGATTAGATTTGATCGTAAATATATATATATCCTGAAGTATCCTGAAGAATGCCTAGCATGAAACATAATGTCGCTACAATAAAACTTAAAATCATGTTTTGAATACTTATTTTCTTATATATATAAACATATATATATATATATATATATATATATATATATTCAACTTTTTTTCAGTTTAAATATACATTTTAGATGTTTAAATATATATTTTCCGAAATAAAATGTTTCATGGGTCAAACCCAATCATCAGTTGGAATAAAATGCATATATATATATATATACTAGCTTGAGAACCTTACGTTGCCCAGGGTAATTATAGTTACTCCAGCGCTTGGTCATAAATTACAATTTTAGCTATTTCTCTATAAAAATATAACTATTCAACTTAGAATCTAAAAACCACACTAAGCACATTTCAAGCCGAGTTCTCCAATCAAAATTTGAGGCAATTCAGGTGTTCATGAGTTATGACCAGACATACAAACAAACAAACAAACAGACAAATATAGATATATACGACTATCAATGGTTGTGAATGCAACTATATTTATTAAAGAAAACCCCGGTAAAAGGTTTTCAATGTTTACTTTGAAGGATCTATTTGCTAGAGAGCTAATAATAATATTTGTTAGGATATTAGGTGTTTGTTCTCAATACAGCACTTAACTTTTCTTTATATACTTTACACGCTTTGCACTTCTAACCCAGGAGAATACTAGGAATTATGGACGCTTCATGCCCCTCTCACTCAACTGCCTAATTTTCTTTATTTAAGGAACTATAAGTTTTTATTCGGTGATTACAAAAAAAATAGCTCAATGATTGCAAAGTCAAGTTCTTATTTTGATAGATAAAAGAAATTACGAATTTCGTTTTTTAAGTTATCAAATAGTTTTTGGCAAATTTTCATTATTACAGAAATAATTATTTTTATGACATCGCATTATAAACACAGTGTCCGTACCATATGCTTCATATGTTTTTACACAAATTCTAATTTAGGGAAAGAGAACTTTTAATGATATTGACAAACTCTAGTATAAGGCTAAGTTCCTGCTAATCTAATGCTAAACTTCTCCAGACTTTATTCTTAGCTTGGTCTCTTCTTTTCATTAATATCATGTTGAGCGGAGAAAAGATTATATTATATCATTACTTTGTCTAAAATATACGAATTATATTCGGTCGAGTAGTTATTTTATTGTCTAACTCATTCAGTTCTTTCTTGTACCATCTCTATAGAATAATACAGTAGCAATGAAGAGAGAAGCAGTTAAGTATCTGATAGACATATTATATATATATATATATATATAGTAAATATATTACATATCTTAGACTTTATTGGAAATAGAAGACGGTTCCAGTCTACAGTCTGTTGACTGAAGATAACTTAAATCAAGTTTTTGCAGTTCTTATTTTTCTTCGGTTTTTTCTTTTCTTTTTCAGATTTCGTCAATCTTCTTTCGACTTAACTGTATTCGATTTTAGTTCTCTAATTTCTCCTACCTTCTCTCACCTTCTCCCACCTTTTCCCCCCTTCTCCCCCCTTTATCCCGACATTCTCAAATCCCTCTCCCACCTTCTCCAGCCTTTCTCCCGACATTATCAAATCCTTTCTCACCTTCTCCCACCTTTCTCCAGAAATTCTCAAATCCTTCTCCCACCTTCTCCCATCTTTCTCCTGACATTCTCAAATCCTTCTCCCACCTTCTCCCATCTTTCTCCTGACATTCTCAAATCCTTCTCCCATCTTCACCCCATTATTTCCTGACATTCTCAAATCCTTCTCCCATCTTCACCCCATTATTTCCTGACATTCATAACCACTTCTCCGGGTTCCGGCAGTTCCTCTAGATTTGATTTACGCAAAAATATTAGAAAAACAAATTTATTCTTTCTCATGACTTTATCTTCTCCCTCTCCCATTTTTACCAATATTTCTTTAGACATGTCTCCTTTTTTATCTTATACAAACTTTTTCATGAAAATCAAAAAATCCTTCTCCAAACCTTCTCTTGGCATTCTCTATCCTTTCTCCCGACGTCTCAAACATTTTTTATCGCATATTTAAATCCTCCTCCTTCTCATTGCTTCTCACCTTATTAATGTGTAGGGATCCGTTGGTAAGAGATTGAATCCCCTCCATCTCAAAAGGATCAAAGATTCGTTTATCCTTTGACCAAGTGATGAATGTAAAGGGAGGGTTCGACTCTATATGACAATGTATGATCCCTAAAAATAATTAGATTATTAGTATTAATATTAGCAATGTATGATCCCTAAAAAAAAATTAAATATTGATATTAATATTATCAATGTTTGATCCGTAAAAACATCTAAAATTTTGATATTAATATTATCAATGTATAATCCCTAAAAATATTTAAATTATTAGTATTAATATCATCAATGTATGATCTCTAAAAATATTTAAAATATTATTATTAATATTATCAATGAATGATCCCTAAAAATATTTAAAATATTATTATTAATAATATAGCAATGTAGAGGTAGGAAAATCTGTCCGAGACAAAAAATTATTGTTGAAGAGAAGGATGA